TTTTTTTTGGTACCGGGGATTGAACTCAGGACCTTGCGCTTGCGAGCCAGGCACCAGAACCACTGAGCTAAATCCCCGGCCCAACCCCCTCCTTTTTTAAATAATTATGAATGGTCAGCAAAAGAGATCATCATAGTTTTATTTGCTTTAAAGAAAAATGAACACCCCCCCCAAAGTTTCTAATAAAGGAGCATCCTTTTGCAGTATACAATAAACTTTTAAATTTGAAATCATTTTTATGCTATTTTATAGTTAGTAGGAAGGGAACACCTAGTATCTGTTCTCAACTATTTTTTCAAAGGTATACCATTATCAGGCTGTTAATGGGAGTATGTGATGAAACTGGAAATGATCACTACTATGAAATCCAGATCTTGATAGTTCAAAATGATTAGGTAATTGTAGTTTCAGAATCATGTTAAAATTTTATCACATGCTTTTGAACCAATTTCCTTTATGATATTAAAACATTTTTATACTGCCAAAAAATTAAATAAGTGGTTAACGAGATCTTTTACACAAAAATTGTGTGTAAGCAGAGTGCCATGTCATATACCTATAATCCCCAGCACTTTGGAAGGGTGAAACAGAAGAGCAAATTTGAGCCCAGCCTGGGCAACTTAGCAACTTTGGGAGACCCAGTCTCAAAATATTCTAGTAGACTGGTGCAACCACTATGGAAATCAGTACGGAGTTAGCTCAAAAAACTAGGATTAGAGGTCCCGTGTGACCCAGCTGTTCCCCTGCTGGGTATCTTCCCAAAAGAAAGGTATCATACCACAGCAATATATGTGCACCCATGTCTATAGTGGCACAGTTTGTAATAGCTAAAACTTGGAAACAGCCCAATTGCTGATCAACTAGAGACTGGATAAAGAAGATGTGGGTTTTTTATAAAGTGGAGTACTACTCAGGCATAAAGAATGAGAAACGAGTCATTTATAGCTAAATGGGTGTACATTGAGGCCATAAGTGAAATAAATAGGACACACATGTAAATATAGAATAATTTCTCTGATGTAAGGAACAAAGTACAAATAAGGATCAAAATGTATAATAGATAATGTGAAATAGGAAGAGAAGGTACAAAGGAGAAAGGGAAGTGGACAAGGGAAAGGAAAGAAGGGAAAGGAATAAATATGAGAAAGGAAAAAACAGTCTTTGTAAATAGGGAGAGGTGGAAGGGTTGAAGGGAGACCAGGGGAATGGGGAAAAATATGTAAGAATCAAGATATATCATGAAGGTCACCGGGCCCAGGGAAGCTGTGTTAGCTGCCGGGAACCTGAAGGCCGCGAAAATGCTGATTACCAGGGCTGCCCGTCCTCGGCCAGAATGCAAGTCACGTTGGCCGCCAGCAGAAGAGTTCTGCTGCTGAAGGAATTCAGGCACATCCAGAAAGCAAGAAGGAATCTGGACCTGATAACCAAAGTATAGCTGAATCACAGACTGCCGGGAAACAAAGTTCAACCTCTAGAACTCCTAAAACAGAGGAAGCACAGGACTACAGGCTCATTACCAGAGATAACTGAACCATCTACTGATGAAGAATTCTCTGATGCAGAGTCAAATTGTGCTGAGATGCAGGAACCTATTCTAAGAATAACCAGGAGAAGGCAGATCACAATTGCACTTAGTCCAGTGTCCAATGTAAGAAAAAAGCAGAAAATAATTCCACTAAATGAGTCTGTTGCTGAAGAAGTTGTCTCTGAAGCAGAATCTCATGCTTCAGGTATTTCTAGAATTGTGCCTTGCCCAGAAATGACGAGACCCAGAAGTAAGGCTAAAGCTCTAACATGTCAAAGCCAAGAATCACATGCGAAGCCATATCTGATGCTGAATCATCATGCTCTGACATTTCATTCCCTGAAATTACACATAAGAGAACAACCAAGATTATGCCAAGGAAATCACAGGCACAAACTGAGAATAAATATACAAAGATTGTACCAGAAAATGAAAAGCAAATCATGGATATCTCTATGAAGTCAGAGGATTCTGATACCAGACAAACCTGTTAGAGTTTGGATGAAGAGGAAAACACAGTAACAGATGAGGGAAAGGAAAATGATGAAAGTTCTCAGTTGAAATGTCTTTCTAAACTTAAGGACCCTAGCCTTCAGTTAGTTTCTCAAATTCATTCAACCCCTCAAAATAATAAAACCACATCAGAGCCCTCAAATCTGAACTGTGACGCTGTAATGAAATCATTAGCTCAAACATTTGTAATTGTGGAAGTGAACAGATGGAATGAAGAGGGAAAAAGCACCATAAAAATAAGTGACTTGACAAAGTTCAGTGGTCATTGTGGTGATGATGATGAAGAGTCCACAAATAAAGTTGTCAGTGAGGACAACAGTGAAAGGAGTGTAGATCTTGAATGTGATACCAGACTAAACAAATCTGGGCTCAACCAGTCTCAGGATATGAATGATTCTGTCTTACTAGTTCTCAGCAGTGATGAAAGCCAGCAATCTGAAAGCAATGAAAGTGAAGAGGACACTGTGTGTTTTTTAAAAAATAGTGGTCAAAAGGAATCATTAAATGGAAACTCAGAAAATACATCTCAGGACAATGCATTCTTTGTAATTAACACAACCCTTGGATTGAATGCTGATAAAATTTTTTACTTGGAAGATAAGACGAGGTTTCCACTGAGAAAGAAAAAGAAGAGGAGGAGGATGAAAACAGTGAAGAAGAACCATCAGACAGTGACAGAAATAAAGATGAGTATAGTGACGAAGATGACTTACTAAATAACACAAAGTCTAAACTTCTGAAGTTGACAAGTAGCAGTATAGACCCTGGTCTGAGTATCAAGCAGTTGAGTGGTGTGTACATTAATTT